ACAAAACACTAACGAAAAAAACCTTAAACTAAATAACAGAAATATCAATAGAGTACAGGAAGGGATTGGGTTAAGGGGGGGAGGAGAGTACTGGGGACTGAATTAGAGCAAATTACATTCCATGCTTTTGTACGTATTTCAAATTAATTCTAAAGTTATATATAATTAAGTAAATCTTAATGATCTGTGAAACTAAAAAGAGTGAATAAAAAGAAAAAAATTTAAAAAGGAAATTGAATTATACCAGCTGAAACACTATGAACTTGGATTTAAAGGACACAAATAGGTCAAAATGAAGGAAGACTATCAGACTTCTGGGATTCTCTAGCATAGGTGAAACAGAGCTATTTGACTGTAAATATGTGCTATCATTCAAGAAAAGCAAAGAGTGAACTCCAAAGATTATTCACAGAATAGCAGTACTGTTCCTCCCACTCCAGCCCCAAAGTGCACAGACTAGCTGGACAAAGGCTATCCTGGTATTCACAGAGGGTGACCACATCTAGATTTAAATTTAGACAAACCAGGCTGCTGAGGCCCAGACACTCAGGAACAAAGCACTGCCCAGAGCTGAGGAGGCAGCACTGCAGCCTTGTTGCCTAGAGCCCAGAGCATTATGTTAAAGATAATTATTCTTGAACCTTAGAATCAAACCAAATTTGTCTTGTTAGCTTTTAGAAGTATCTGGGGACTACCATCCCTTTTTTCCTTATACTTTCTCCATTGGTACAGGAATGTCTATCCAGTGCTAGTTCCACTATTGAATTTTGGAAGCACATAATGTGTTGGCTTTCACAGATTAACAAGAAGAAATTTTGTCTCAGGATAATCACAACTTGAGTCTCACTCATTCATAATTTAACCAGTACTTAGATAAGACTTTGGACTTAAAGTTGATACTAAAAAGAATTAAGTATTAAGTGATAGCAATTCTATATTAAAAGCATTATTTATGGTGATATGAAGACTATATTTTGGACCATTACTTAAAAGAGTTAATCTCTTTCTTCTTTTATGCTGGATGTCAGAGTCCATTCCCCTCTTCTCAGAAATCTGTTGGGGCAGTTCTTAGAGTACAAATAATTGTATTTCATTTGGTACACAGGGATGGTCTACCAGTGAACTAAACCCCAATGATTTTTACTTTTTCTTTTAAGCCCTGGTCTCACTGAATTGTGGAATATAGCCTCAGACTTGCAGTACTTCTGCCTAAGCCTCCAAAATCGCTGGGATTATAAGTGCATCCCACTGAGCCCAGTTAGAAAATGAATTTTAACTTCATGAATGTTTATACAGATATACACTTTTCTGCACACACATTTTATAAAACATATATTAACTAAAAAAACTTTTAAGAAATTATCAAAATAATTTTAAACATTTAGTAGCATAAGTGATAGGAAGTAGGTGAATGACGTTAACATGTTTTGCAAAGCTCATTATGAGTAGAAATGAAGGATGTCGTCACTGCCAAGAATTTTAATTACACTCCCTCTCCATTTTGGATAGCTTTATTTGTATTTTTTTGCTTAGTACAATAGATTGTTTTCTAGAAGAAACAGAGGCACAAATCTCTGCAATTCTTCTCTCCAGATATCTATATCCCTCTCTGATATAACAATTGGAAATTGCCTGGGAAGAATAGCTCCAGAGATGGTGACTGAATAAACAAGCTAAACAACATCTACCTGAGGGTGGTTGGAGCCAAGAGATTGCAGGAGAGAGTTGGTGCTAACAAGTTGCCCTCACAGGGTGCCTCCACTACCTCTCCTGGAACTGTGTTCATGGACGACCTTTCCATCAAAACCATACAAGCATCTATGGCCAGGTCATCATTCTTCCTGAAAGGTAGGGCTTTGTTTTCTTTCTTTCTTTCTTTCTTTCTTTCTTTCTTTCTTTCTTTCTTTCTTTCTTTCTTTCTTTCTTTCTTTCTTTCTTTCTTTCTTTCTT